GTATAGTATGGCAGAAAAATGCCAAAAAACATCATAGTATAGTATGGCATAAAACGTCAAAAAAACATCATAGTATATTAAGGCATAAAAGGTCATAATGTAATTAGGCATAAAAATGCCAAAAAGCATCATTGTATAGTATGGCAGAAAAATGCCAAAAAACATCATAGTATAGTATGGCATAAAACGTCAAAAAAACATCATAGTATATTAAGGCATAAAAGGTCATAAAAACGTCACAGTGTGGTCAGGCATCAAATAACATAGTATAGTCAGGCAAAAAAATGCCAAAAAACATTATAGTATAGTATGGCATAAAACGTCAAAAAAACATCATAGTATATTAAGGCATAAAAGGTCATAAAAACGTCATAGTGTGGTCAGGAACAAAAAATATAGTATAGTAAGGCATAAAAATGACAAAAAACGTCAAAGTATAGTATGGCATAAAATGTCAAAAAAACATCATAGTATATTAAGGCAGAAAAGGTCATATGAACATCATAACATGGCAAGGCACGAGACGAAATAATGTAATTAGGCATAAAAATGCCAAAAAGCGTCATAGTATAGTATGGCATAAAACGTCAGAAAAACGTCATTGTATATTAAAGCATAGAAGGTCATAAAAAAGCCATAGTATGGTCAGGCATCAAAAAATATATTACAGTAAGGCATAAAAATGCCAAAAAATGTCATAGTGCAGTAGGGCATAAAACGTCAGAAAACGTCATAGTATAGTATGGCATAAAACGTCAAAAAAACATCATAGTATATTACAGCATAGAAGGTCATATGAACATCATAACATGGCAAGGCATGAGACGAAATAATGTAATTAGGAATAAAAATGTCATAAAACATAACAGTATAGTAAGGCCTTAAACGTCATAGTATAGTGAGGCATAAAAATGTTAAAAAATGTCATAGCATCGCAAGGCACAAAAATGTTTTTTAAAAAAAAGTCATAGTTTATTAAGGCATAAAAATGTTAAAAAATGTCACAGTATAGCAAGGCATACAAATGTCAAAAAATGTCATAGTATAGCAAGGCATAAAAATGTCAAAAAATGTCATAGCATAGTAAGGCATAAAACTCCATAGTGAAGTGAGGCATAAAAAGTCATAGTATATAGTAAGGCATAAAAATGTCATAGTGTAGTAAGGCATAAACATGTCAAAAAACGTCAAGGCATAAAAATGTCAAAAAATGTCATGGTATAGTAAGGCATAAAAATGTCAAAAAATGTTTTAGAATAGTAAGGCATAAAATGTCATAGTATAGTAAGTCATCAAAATGTAAAAAAATGTGACAGTATAGTAAGGCATAAAAATGCAAAAAAATGTCAAAAAATGTCATAGTATAGGAAAGCATAAAACGTCATAGTTATAGTAAGGCATAAAAAAAGTCACAGTATAGTAAGTCACAAAAATGTTAAAAAATGCCATGGTATATGACCTGTTTCTCCCCAGACTGACTCCACCTGGTTCCAAACGTCTTTATCGTTGCACACATCTGATTCAAATAGTGACTTATATTGTGATATGAAATGGCAATTGATTCTGGTTATGGGGTTGGGAACTGACACTTACAGCGAAGTAAGCCTAAAGTCTACTGGATAATTGTAAAAAAAAAAAAAAAAAAAAGAGACAGTAATATATCCTTGCTTCTGGTTCTTACACGATGTCATTGAGCTCCAGCATGGTGTCAGGAGGAGGATTGATGAGGACGTAGGACAGCGTGTTCTGGTGGTCGTTCATCTCGTCTGTAAAAAGAGACAGAAAAGACCTTCAGAGCTGCTCTGGAGCCCTCCCTCGTCCTCCTCCATTATACAGTACATCAGCCAGGAAATGAGCCCTCTAACCACTTTCAACCTTTCAGTGAGTACAAAGGCAAAGTAACCCACATAGAGTATAAGACCAAGTGGTATGAAAATCTGAGACAATTAGTTGTGGGGATGCTCTTTTCCTAGACTGGCTATAAAGTGAAGAAATGCTTGTTACAACCGTTAACTACAACAATTTTGAAAAGAGCAGTGACCTGAATCAATAGATGAATTGATAAATCAAGCTGACAATACAGTTTTTGAAGGAAAATACACAGCTGGATTTACAGTAGTTTGATTACTGATATCAGTATTTGGGAGTTTAAATAATTTGATAATATATTGGCAGACACAGTTTTTGTTTTTGGTGGAAAATTGTTATCAAGATGCAAACAGGGCAGGACATTTTACAGTTGAAAAATAAACATGTCAATGCTCTCTGGTGAACAAATAGTGTGATAGCGACATTGTTTATAAATGACCTCAAACCTAGTTTGGCATTTCTGTACTGAAATTTGTTGTTTTTGCCTTCATAAACACTAACACCGATATATCTGCAAGAAGCTGATATCAGCAGATATTTCTGCCTGGTAGATTTATTGGTCTAGCTCTAATTTTGATGTACAAATGATTTGACTTAACATATGTATGTGTTAGGTTGTGGTTTGTAATATGCACCATCACTGATATCAACGGAATATAATACACATCCACAACCTTCAAACTATTGTGCTACAACGAATCCAGTCCACAGAGTTGGTAAAAGGCAGAGGACATAGTAAACAAATTTGTAATTCAAAGTGCAAATTTAACAATAAGTCAGAGTCAGTTGTTCTATTATTAAAAACTATACTGCCAAGTTGACTTACTAGCTAGCATACTAGCCAGCTAGCCCCGGCCCACTTGACCTATCTTGACTTATACCGACCCACTGTAGCTTCCAGGCTGCACTGAAGAAGTAACACAGCTCAGACGAAGTATTATACCCTCTTGTATTCTAACTGCAACAACAGCTAAAGCCCTTGACAAGACTAGTAAGGAAACAGCTGTTAATGCTAACGCTAGTTATGTAACAATAGCAAAACTTACAAATATACAGATAGCTGTAAATTGTTTATGCATTAACAGTTGTAACAATATTATTTCATTGCATCCATAGTGTAACTAAATTAACCATGGAAACTATTTTGCACATTTTTAAATGATTCTTAATCAATTAGAGGAAACTGACTAAACATTAATTCCCCAGATGACTGATATTACTGTGTGTGTGAGTGTGTGTGTGTCAGTGTGTGTGTTATTCATTTTTGCATGTATGGGTGTTGAGTGCTCTGTGGCAGCGGCTCCTACTTGCGTTGCGTGATGGACAGAGGAAGGCAAAGGAGGGCACATGTGTCTCCATGACAACCCACCTGCTTGTGGCCCTTTATAAAGCCAGGCGGGGTGGAAGAGAGAGAAGGGCTAACCGTTACTGACAGGGCACTGGGTGGAACAAGGGGAGGCCCATGCTGCCTGCTGACTCATACAGGACCTCATGCGCAGCTTCAGAATGGAGCCAACATGCAGACAGCGTCCGCGGCCACGCGGTCTCCATCACATTCCTTTATCGTCCTGCGCATTCCACACTGGACCAACAGGCTGGTAAGGCGGCAGGTTGCCATGCCAATGGACGACACTCAGCCCCTCCCCACAACCCGCCCTGAGTGACATGTGACACACCCACAGACACAGAGGACATGCTCCAGCATCCGTCAGACTGGACCAAACGCAGAGCGACTCAAACCAAACTGAGAGTGAAGCAGAACACATTGGGAGTGTGAGAGTGGAAGAGGTTGACCTGCTGCTGGATCATCACCTGGAAGTTACATTTATTCAATAACGCTGAAGAAGGCCCTTTGTATGTGAAGAGAAGAGATGCTTGCAGGATTTATGACTGATATTAAGGACTGTACCAATTTGTTTCCCCTTCTTATCCACACTTTGCTTCTGTAGACTACAGTGTATTGAATATAGATTATACCATGGCCACAGAAAATACTCATTTCTAATTAGTAGGTAGTAGTTTGCTGAAATGGGAGAAAAAAGAAACCACACACATACAATGCAGTCGAAGAGTGTTACCGCAGTGATTTCATTGTTGTGGCTCTGTAAACCAGGACATCAGACATACACATCAAACAAGGACTTCGTTTAAAGCCCCTTCAGACAGCCATTTACTTCTGTCCCCTAATATTTGAAGATCAACAATTACTAAAGAATCTAGTGTGGATGCAAGCACCCTTATGAGAGACTGTTTAATGTCCTAGTCATGTTCCAAATGTGTTGATTTGAATATTATTATGTTTAACTTGATGGTATTTAACACTTAAAAAAAAAAGATATAAACAGGAATGTTGTAATGCTTTTTTTCATACTAGACAGAGTGATTTTGGATTTGTCGATGATGAGGCTGGTCTCTAAGTTTGGTCAGGTTTGCATTTCATTCACCAAGTACTTTTCATGACCCATTTAGACTTTCTGCCTAACAGCTAATTTTAAGACATTATCAATCGCAGCAGGTGCAGTCAGTCTATTGTAACTGATAGCTTTTTGGTTATTGCGACAATAAATATTAGCATCACTTCAATTAACAAATTTGTGTGTGTGTGTGTAGCAAGGTGAGAAGTTAAACCACTGGAAGGCAACAATAACAAGATTCTTAGATAATTTAGGTTTTAGTTTTTTTTCTTTTTTTATAGATTAAAGATGAAAGTTGGCACTGTGACATCATGGTTATGTTTCATTTCAAATCCAGTGTGCTGGAGTACAAAGCCATCACAATGAAAAGTGTTTTCCTGTCCTAATACTTGCTGACAGGATAACCACCACTCTATGGTGACAAAAAAAGTAAGTGAACCCTATGGAATTTCCCGCATTTACAGTATGTTTAAATTTGTCTTAAAATATGGTCAGATCTAACAATGCATTGTTCTTGTCCATACTGAAGACATCATTCAAATATTAACAATGTAGGCTGGAAAAGTATGTAAACCCCCTCAGCTAATTATCAAACCTGGAGTCCAATCAATGAAACTAGATTGGAGGCGTAGGTTAGAGCTACTTTGACTTTCAAAAGTAAATCATTAGACTTACAATGATCTGGGGCTGCTTTGCGTCCTGTAGACCTAGACAGCTCCTCATAGTCAAGGGTAAAATGAATTCCCAAGTTTATCCAGGTATCTTACAGGATAATGATCGGGTGGCTGAAGCTCCACAGAAGTTGGATAATGCAGCAGGACAATGACCCTAAACATCAAAGTAAATCTACTAAAGAATGACTTTAAATAAAGAAAATCCACCTGTTGGAGTCAGTCATACCGAGAATACGGCTGAGCTGAAGCAGTTCTGTGGGAAGAATGATCCAAAAGAGGTTCGGCAAGTTACTAAATCCAAGGGTTCACTTACTTTCTCCACCAGCACTGTGAACGTTTAATGGGTGTGCTCAATAAAGATATGAAAGACTGTTAATAGCTTAAACACATTACACATTATCATTTTATGACAAATAAATGCATAAACCCAGGTCATTTCAAAGGGTTCACCTACTTCTGCTTGCCACTGTAAATCAGTGCACAAACTGTATTAAGATGCAGGTAACCATAGCAACACTAGTGAAATCTAACTAGCAAAACAGACCAAACTACAACAAACTTTCAGAAATGTATGACAATGTAAACACTGCTTCTTCTTTTTGCCTGTGGCTAAGTGGCCATTGTATAAAGTGATAACACGTTCTGAGGAGTCCTGATGGATGGAAATAACAGGCAAGGTGGAGGTGAAAGAATCAAAGTGGCTTTTCCTCCTCTCAGTTCTTTATTTTCTACATCAGGACACCTCAGATACACATTATTCTTTATATTTGAGGTCTATATTCATAGACTACACCTAACCTTCCATCCACAGACATAACGCGTTCCGCTCCACTCTTTAAGCCATACTCTTGTGCCCTGCAGTACTCTAGCCAATTGGGACGTCACCTCACGGGAACACAATGCAGAAAAGACCAGATAGAGAGAGAGAGAGATAGTAGAGCGAGATAGATTGGCTGCTGATCTACCATTCAGTCTGCCAGGACACACACACACACACACATACTGTACATACACGCACACACACACACACACACACACACTCATGCAGTAAAGTTGCAGTACTGTGATCAACCAGCTAACCTGACAGCCTGGTCCCCTCTGTATACGGATGCTCTGAAATGTCCTGCAACTCTAAGCAATGGCATTCACTGTTAACTTCAATGTCCTTATGTGTTCATTTATAATTAACTAGCAAATGTATAGTATCCATAACATATAAGGCAAAGTGTGAAGGAAACAAATGTTTTCTACAAGTGAGTATTTATAGTTCTGCAGAAAAACTCAGTGCACTATTCTTCAATGGATGCTGGTGAAAATACAAAATCTCTTTCTCCACAGGATGGACGTAACCACTCACATGTTGTAAATGAGTTATAAACGGCACACAAATTACCTTGCAAATATCCTAGATTTACTCGATTCATGACATCGCTCGCAGTGAGATTAGAAACATCCTCTACAAGCCAAAAGGAGGGAAGATAGAAGAGTCAGAGAGAGAAAGGAGGAAGAGGAACATAAGGAAGAAGGGGGGAAAACAAGAAAAAAGGGAAAACAAAGATCAGGCAGGCAGCGAACGCATTTGCAGTTTCAAAAAGAACTCTTGAAAAGGTGAGAGCGATGCAAAGAAGCCATGCATTAGTGTGTGCACAGAATCACTTCCAAATTATTCATCTGCCACATGTTGCAGAAATCCTCACTGACTTTCATGGTTCTTAGGAAGATCTTGAGCTTTTGAGGTTCTTCCTGAAACGTATTTAATTGACATGTTACATAATATTTAGCAAGTGCAACACATCTGGAGCATGATTCTGCTTTTATTTAACGCATGAAGCTGGGAGGAGAGAAGAACTAAAGAAACAAAAGTCCAGAAGTGAGCAGATAAGAATGCAGGCAATTGCAGTCTCTGATCAAATGCAATTGAGAACAAGGTTTAGTGCTCCTGCATCTTCATGCATGATGTGTTCACATCTACATGTTGGTATGATCATGACTATGGAATGGTGTGTATGATTTATGGCACACAGAAGAAGAGTTTGATGAGTGTGAAAGTAATGTGAGAAAAATGAGGCTCTCTGAAGGTCAATGAAGATGAAGTGGGGTGTTAATGATCTGTCCTATCAAGACCCACAGCACCATGTCTTAATAGTAAATGAGATGATAACACAGAATGACTAGGACACAGATTGGAGTTTTAAATAAACTTCTTGAACACGCTGTTCCCATGGCAGAAATAATGTAATGGGCCGGGAAACGCCTCAGTGGGTGGAGCTAAAGAAACCCTCCACGCTTCTCTATCAAGTTTAAAGTAGACAGACAACAGTCAGGCATACAGGCCTAATACAGGTAATGCGATGATTAGCAACCTAATCAGAGCTAAGATGTATACTTAATCTAAACAATGTAAAGTTCACTGCACACATAGAAGCCCAGAATAACCCATTATCCAAGTGGGCTTTCCTAAGGTGGAATGGAGTCCAGGAAAAAGGACAAGTAGTATAAGAGCGGCTAACTTAGGTGCTTGTTTTACTAACTGCAACTCCAGATACTAATGATGTCTTTCCAAGACCATAGAGGTTTTTGGTATGATTCAAATGTTCCTCAGTTGAAACAAGCTAAGCCCTGCGGCCTGAAATCAGTCACATTGTTCTTCGTCCTGGGGGAAGTAAACTCATTTCAACATGCTCTACTAGCCAGTTTTAGGTTTGCAAAACCACTGTTGTCAGTGAGATCTTATCATAGGGCTAGAACCAACTATTTCCATTACTAATTCACTAGTCATTATTCATGTGGAAATTATTTCCTCAATTAATAGTTAATAGTTCAGTCTGTGAAATTCCAGAGAAATAACTGTCACCCTTTTAAAACATATAGCAATAGTCTAAAACTCAAACAGATTCAATTTACAATGATAAAACACTGTAGAAACCAGCAAGTATTCACACTGAGAAGCTGGGACCAGTTTTCTGCTTTAGTAACTTAAACAAATAATTAATTATCAAAATGGTTGCAATTAATTTTCTGTCCATCAAGTATGGGATGGAGCATGGGATTTTCATAGTTTTTGCTGCATGTTGGTATCAGCTTTATACTAATGTAATAATACTAATAATACTATTACTACTAATAACAATAATAAAACAAGAGATCACAAAGTGATTTGCAAAAACAAAAACATAAGAAAAGAGAGTGTAGTCTCAGTAAGGTATAAAGAACTGACCTAAACGGAAGTTCAACCTAACCATACAAGCTCAGAGCTACAGGTCTGCTCACCTTGCAGCTTGCACCTTCCCTGGCTATGATCATGAACATGCAAAGAGCCACCACCATTTGCAACGTTTTCTCTTCTTAAAACTGAGATTCTTAGACTTCACCCACTGAGCTTTACCTCAGCTAACTACATTATTTCTGCCACCAGATCTGCTGTGACCTTACAGAAACGCTTAATGAACAGAGACTCCAATCTGCAACAAACATAATTTGCATTATTATTCATTTTCAGGTATATTATGACTTATTAACATCAAGTAATTATAAATGGAATAAAAACAGATAAATATCCAAAATTAAACAATTACTAACAGTCACCTCTACTGTATTTAGTCTTGTTATACAATAAAGTTATATATCATAAACTACTACATTGAATTAACCTTCACAAGTCAACTTCTACATAACAAAGCAAACACAACGCCATCAGCTGTTCTACTCACCATATCCCACGGTGGGCAGGCCCAGGTGCTTCATGCGATTCTTGACCAGCTCAGACAGCTCCTGTCGCTCGGAGCGTCGGTACAGGTTGAGTCTCTGCTGCGAGATGCGCTCGGCTCGACTTGACGGTTTGTTGCTCTTCCTGCTCAGACGCCGCGCCCACTGCATGCTCTTCTTCCTCAGCAGCGGGTGCTCCGATTGGTCGCTCGTGGTGGAGTTTCTGTGGGCCGTCTTCTCCTTCCAGGACTCTCCACGCTCACGATGCTCCTCGCCCTGCTCCACGTTGATGGACACCTGAGACTGGGAGAGCAGGGTGACAGTGTTAATGCTGGATGTTTGTGTAGGCTTGATCCTATTAATTCTGTTCCATTTTTTAAAGAGATACCTGTCTGTATTACATTAAAAGCAAACATCTATCTTTAATGACTCTTTAGCTGCTACTTTCAGAAGCCGGTATTATCAAATAATGATGGTTGTGAACTTTGGATATTGTTAAATGCCAGAAAAATGCTGGAAAGGCATTTTTCATCTTTGCCTGCTTTAAGCAAAAGATGACAGCTGATTGAAATATCCAAATTAAAAACAAGCACGTTTGGATCTTACCTGTGCATAACTGCCCTTGCACTGAAACAAGAGAAGGACAGACAGACATCCAAACAAAGAGATGCAATGAAAGATGGGGGGCATCCAAAGCAAACAAAATTAAAAGCCTCAAATGTCAGCACATGACATAGTAAATATGGTGGATTTCCTATTTTATTGCCAAGAAACAGTGGGAAATTAACACTAGCCACCACAGGCACATTTCTGCCAAATATTATTGAGAGGCTGATTTCTATTTCGATAATCACTCTGGCTAAAAAGCACCAAAAACTGTGGTATCCAAGCAAAAATGTTAATTTCCTTCCCTGTTGACATATAAATGACATAAAAAGTGAAAACAAATTCTTAACAGAAGCAAACAGAAGATCTATAAAGAATGGACAGTAAAAGTTTGGCAGAAAGAAGGAGAATAACAGGAGGGCCAAGATTAGAAGGAATAAATAAAGGCAAAATGGAAAAAAATTGAAAGGAAGACAGAAAGGCATTTTAGGAGAAGAAGGAAATTACATGGAAATTAAAGAAATGGAGGCAAAAGCAGTAGGTGAGAAAGGAGAAGAAAACCCTAAAAGAAAGAATAATGGAGGGAAACCAAAGAGGCAGCGGGGCCAAGGCCAAAGGCAGGTACCGGATTTTAGTATATGATCAAACTGAACTTGCCTCTGAGCTTGAGAACATGTGTGACTCGGTGCGGTAGATCCCTATGGGGATCTCAGCGCTGGAGGAACAAAGTTTCTGAAAGAGTCTGCCATAAGTCCTGATCCACAGATCCTCCTCTGTGACCTTCATCTGAGGAGAGACAACAAAAATCCAGTCGATGCACATCACACACACACACTTACTCAAACTGACGAATCCCTATATGCTTAGAGGCAGGAGCATTTGTACTTACAACACACAGGTACCCAGAGCCAGGCGTGGTGTCCAGACCAAGGAGAAGCCTCGCAATAGCGATCATGTAGTCCTTAACAAAGGACTGTCAACACAGAGAGAGTGACCGCGATGAATATGTTTTCAACTACAGTAACCTCAACCCAGCGGCAAACAAGCTGTATAGCAATTAGTTTTAGACATCTATGTACTGTTTATATACTTCCCCACATACTGAGCAAATCAAGTCTTATTTCGATTAAAGAAATATGCATTGTTCATTGCACGCCTGGAATCACTTAATGACAATAATTTCCCTTTTATGAGCACCCATTTCCAGAAGCTGTTAACAAACCAATTATAGACTTTTCAGCTCTTGCCTTTACTTGCTTTGGGCTACTGTAATGTAGCAGCACAAAATTCTAAGACTTGACTGACGTGTGAATTCCCCTCAGTCTATGTTTATCTTGACCTCTTGCAGAGTGAACCCCAGAAGTCTGTTATCCAACCTGGTAAAGCAGCGTATCCAACATGCTGATACTGAACACCCTGCCTGCAGCAAACGGCAGCCGGAACATGAAGGCCAGGTTGGAGCCCTTGTCACGCTCTATCTGGAAAAATAAATGAATAAAAATAGGATTTGAGAAACAGAGCAACAAGATGTTAAAATATCACTTTTTTCTTTATGTTTGATTAACTATTGCTCTTTTGCTCCATGTTGAAGAAGGTTTTTATGGTTGGTTTGAATACTGTAACTTCCTGGCCATAATTCAAGTCAAGATATTACTGATCATCTTGACCAGATTCTCTCGTGTCTCTTTTTGGGTTTTATTCTCTCCATTCAGACACAGAATGGTTGGGCTGACTCTATTTTCACTGCTGCAGATAATCCTCTATAATCCAGCTCTGATTAGTCTTTTGAGACCCACCCCCCTTTTAACCACTTACCTTCTCCAGTTTGGAGAGAGCAAGTGAGTAGCAGTCCTTGGCTCTGAACTGCATGAACCTCATGTTGGATGGGTGTGTGAGCTCAGTGATGATGCTGAGGCTGGGGAACAACCTGAGAGGGGTGGAGATACAGAGAGAGAGAGAGGGATATCACAGGAGAAATGAAATGCTCTGTGCTGAGGGGAAAACCTGGTGTGGCAGTGATAAACGCTTTTCATTTTAGCTGTTAAATAAAAGAGTAGGTTCAGAGCTTTGGCAACTGCAGTTTGTTTTTGAGATGAGCTCATTCTCCATTCTGGCAAAGTCCGAAAAACAAGCATTTACTCTCCGACATCTTAGATGAAGAAGTTAATCAAATGGAATCTGGTGCAAATTTGATCCAAAACCTGAAGGTCCAGCTCATAAAAAAACATCCACTGACAGTATTAGTTGTTTACTGTATATTTCTATACAGTAAAACTCTCTCTCCGTTACCTGAACATAGTCTGCACGTTGACAATGGTCTTGGCGTCTGCCATGTAGTCCTCCTCAGCGCTCATGGTGCTCTCTTTGTCCACCACGACCAAGTTGTCTGCGTAGATTATACCACACTGCAGCAGGTTGTCCAGGCTGGTCCATTCAGAAAACAACAATGTTTATCACTTCATGAGATGTCAGGAAATATCTCCTCTTCATAAGAATGGCAGAAGATCAATCTGTTCAACGTATTCCATTAACTATTTAAGTTTACGTTTGTACCTTCCTACTACTTTCCTAGAATGACTCTGAACAACCTCAGTAGGTCACAGGTTGCACCACAAAAAGTAGTTCTAACATTGAGACTTATATTACTAACTATTTCCATCTGCAAACTGGCAGGTGTAACTGTTGTGTAGCTGATAACTGACGACACTAACACTAGTTTGCTAATATACGTGTATGTCCTGACACTTGATCAAAATGCTGTTTAAAATTGATGTAAACTGGATATGCTAATACTGCCAGACTACAGGACCAAATAGCATCTTTGAGTTTAGCATAATCCTACTATATTATCCACTCAATCTAAACTGCATCACTACCAACTATAAAACCCATTTCTTCATGAATGCAGATACAAATAAAATAAAGTTGCATTTACATTTACAAAGTTCACGTACATATAAATAACTTTATTACATAATAAGCAACGAAAACTGTTATTTCTGGCAATTATGTCGAACTTTTATGATTTAATGGCAAAACCAGTGCTTCCTAGCAACCAATTTACACATTACTGAAGTCCTTACTAGCAAAGCTTTCCTACATTTTAAGGGTGCAAAATGATTTCGTTAAACCACTAGTTTGAAACTACCTGGAAGGTACTTAAAAAAACTTGGTGCAACCCAGTTCTGGGTGTGCACTTAACATGAAAGCCATTACAAAAAGACATAGACATGCATTTTAGAAGAATGTGAAATGCATTGTGAGATTTTTGAACATCGCTGCAAAACTTAAGTCTAAAAAGCAGCCTTATCTTTATCATCCTCTAACACCAAATATGTCATTTATTGATTAAGAGAAATTAAGTATATTCTGCAATCAAAGTCCTACAATTTAACATAGCTGTTCAGTAATCTCTACTGCTGGTAGCTATTGCTATAAAAAAAATATACACTGGGATGAACACGATCCTTGAATTAGTTAATCAAATGAAGAGGTTTTTATAATCCAAATACATACTTATCAATAGTGCCAGCCATGAAGTACACCATTGGAAAGCAGCAAATTGCCTCTAAGAAGTGGTTGTCTGGCCTGCAGGAAACAGGAAACATCATGAATGAGCATCCCACACTAATTATGTTTGTAAAACCCCAGTGAAACATTATGATATTGCTGATGTAATTTCCTGAAATCTCTTTGTTTCTTGGTTGATGAGGGCAGAGGGATTTGTTTGAACTGGATCAATTGATGGCTTACAGGCAACAAGAGGTAAACATAAGCTCAATAGTTCAATGCAATGGGAGGATTTAAGTGGTTGCTATGGCAACTCCTGAGGGTGTCACTTTCTTGGCTCTCTGTCTTTGTAGTTTCTCTTTTTCAGCAACCGCAGAGATCTGGCCGAGGTTAATGAAACCCACAGTGAATTAGAGCAACGAAAGAGTGTGGATTGCTGCAACACACGCACACACACACACACACACGCATGCACTAACACACTATGCGTATATATGCCCTGACACAAATAGGCTTTTATGCATAGAGAACTTTTGTTTATGAATAATGCAAAAGCAATTTTTTCTTTATCTTAGAAGAAAACCTAAGCTATAGTTCCAATTTTCTACTGAAAGCAATTTCTGAAACCCACATACGTCCACAAACAAATGCAGATATACACCAACATAAAACAGCCAAGCAGAGACACCCCCCCCCCCAAAAAAAAAAACATCTTTTGAACTTCTATTCAGTTTTCTGCTTGGAGAACTGCTTTCTATTAATCATGCAAAAAATGTTTCATCCTGCATCTCGGCCAAAAGTTAACTTGTATGTTCTTCAAGCTGTAATTACCAACTCTACTGCAACCACTTCTGGCTCATGTCCTCATATTCAAGTACCAGATGATTTTTTTATCAAAGTCTGAAATAATGAAATAAAATATGAGACAATTGTAAATGTTAATGTACAGTGATGTTGGCATCCATGTAGCAAAGAAGGGCCAAAGAAAGGCCGACTTTATTAGTTGTTAAGCCAATCAATATGCTAACCATGTAGCGAATTAGCATGCTGTTTCATCTTTATTGTGTTGTATGCACATGATTATAGGTGGAGGTAGCATATGCGTTAGAAGCTTCTACATAAAAGAGACTTTGAGTTTTTGATGTGATTATTAAAACTTTGGTGCTTTTGCAGTACATTGCTGTATGACGAAAACAAACCAACAAGCAGGGAGGGCTGAACAGTCTTACGGGTAGTCCAGCAGCAGCACTATGGGGTTGAGCTCCTTCCTGGGCCGATAGTAAGCGCGCAGAGGTACGATGAAGTTGTAGAGACCGTTTCCTGCGGTCTCTGCAGACACTATAATGAGCTTATTCTTGAAGCCGTATGCCTTGGCGTCCTCAAAGCTGTTATGTGTGCAGCCCTGGATGGAGACACAATTCAACCGGAAGTCAGCCAGGTTCTTTGCAGACACATCAGATAACATGACAGGTTAGTTCATGCCAAATGCTGGTAATGCTTAATTTCATATTTCCTAACAATTTTGGTTTTTAACTGTTAAATGCTGAGACATTTCCAGAAAGGTGAAATTCTTCTCCTTCTGTCTTTTCCTGCAGGTGAACTCACCTTGTCGAGGCGAAGGCAGCAGAATGGAGCTTTCTGTGGTAGGAGGTGGCACAGAGTTGGAGAGCTACCGATGTAGGGCGAGTTGGGAGGGTAGCCCTTCACAAAACTGATGGAAAAGAAGCAAGAAATGCCTCTGAGAACAAGTCCTACCAAACTTTAACAACATTGTGATTAAGCAAAGTAAAAAAAAAGTAAAAACCTTCTGACATATTGCACAGATATCGACTTTAGTATCAAATATCCACCAGAGTTTCCAACCTCTCCACAAAACTTCACATATACTGACACATAATGAAGTAAAAGCTTTCACATGTTGAAATACTGAATGGAACATTGTCCTCATCATTTTATTATACTGCAACAATTATTCTTCTTTTCACTTTACTGAAGCTGTTTTGCTCAAATTGCTGATGTGTATAATTCCTGTTCACTACATCAACAATTCCAAGGTTTTTTCAGTCAGTTTAATTTTAATTGTGTCTCATTTTGGGTGTCAATTTGGATCTGTGTCCCCTGATTTGTAACTTGTCAGCTGCAATTATCCTTATCGGTTTCACAGTGCCCTCTAGTTTGCCAATAAAACACTCTGACTTTGTTTACTGATGCAACTACAACCTGATCACCACACGATGGCAGTGTGGGACCTTGAGTTTTAGTTGTTTTCCAATCACTCCTTCTGAAAACTCCTCAAGAAGAAAAACTGGCCAAGAGCCATGGGTTGCAGTAATAAGTGTGTTATGTCCAACATTATGAGACCCATTGATGTCTGGGTGTAACAGCTGCTGATCTGATGGACTTGGATGTGCTGGAGTACAAACTATGAGCCACAAGCACCCAATCTATCTGGAACTTATCTCAGTCTAATGAAACCACAGAGAGAGAGAGAAAAGAGAAGAACGCAGTGCTGAGATAAACTGAATCCTCTGACTCTCTGAGGGGTGAGGATTTATGTAAGGACACACAACATGACCCTCCCTCCAGAGTAAAATTGCTGACCCTGTCTCTGTCATGACATATACACCATCACTGCCACCTCTGCACCTTACAGCATGACACACAGATTACACGCTTATCCCAAACCCATCCATCTGTCCTCCTACAACCACTGAGGTGTTGAGAAGAAGAGGAGGGCAGGTGAGATCAATCACGTATAGAGCACAGGACACTTGCACTAAGAGGACATTTCACTTGTTTACTGCGGCATGACAAGACATACTGTACAATACACCAAATCTCTATGGGTCGATAAGGTCTAAGCTTACACTTTATCCACAGCTACGTCACTTACTCTGACCCTACAGAGCCCTCCTCATCTGACTGGTTGGTCTCATCCTCTGATTGGTCGCTGAGCAGGTCGCAGGGCAGGATGGCAGAGGAGTCGGCGATCTCCAGGACAGGTGCAATGCTCGGTCTGCGGCTCCCAGCGCCGTTTTCCGTCGGCAAGGTCAGTTTGCCGCTCTCCTCGGGCGGATCAGGGTTCTGGAGATCTATGGCTACAGTGCCTGAAAATAACAGGACGTTATTTTGTGTATACAACTGAGCCTGAAACTGGAAGGCTATTTAGAAATAGCATGCACAGCACACTTTAACCGTTTTATCTCAGACAAAAGTCTTTGCTGGAAAATGCCTTTTCATATTGGATATACTAAAGCCCACATTTAGCTTGTTCAGCATGTTAGCCACCCTCATTCACCTTCTTGAGCTGTTTAACCTTGAGGAGAAAATGTATTGCTTTCTGAATCATGTAATTGTACTATCAAGCTACCACAAAGGTCATGCAAACAGTATTGACATTGTGTGTGTGTGTCAACTTCATACATCATGACTTCAAACATCATATTAGCAGTTTGTAATATGATGTATAATATATATACAATACATATATCATATCAGATACATGATATATGCACAGTACGTATGTCAGATACATGATATAAATATACAATACATATAAAAATGTGATTTATCATTTAAAAGCGTTAGTTAAACAATGAAATATCAGTGCCATGTACACTGTATAAAACACTATAGATTGTGAACATTTTTTAGAAGCAGCAAATAAGTGTAAAAAAAGTGATGCGCCATGCACAAACTTACCATATGAAGTGGCCTGATCAACTTTCACAGGTCAAAGAAAAAGCACAACACAATAATGTCAGCCGACAAAGTAAAAAAGCATGTAAGAAAAAAAAATTCATGCATAACAGTCAGAGAAAGCGTACAGCATCACCAAGGCAGGCGCTGTTCAGAAACACTCAGCTCGAGTGCAATTTAGAGTAAAACATTAACAGCAAAGCATCCATTTTCTCTGCTTACAAGGAAACCCTTTCAACCAATCAAATGTCCGCAACCTTGAAACTTGAAGAAACTACCAACATTATCTTCCATCTTCCTCCCTTCGCTAGCTTCTCTACTTTTTCTCTCACCCATGCTGGCGATGATGCTGTGCACAGGCAGCCTGGAGGGGGCGTCGTAGAGGCCGGTGACGGCCAGACCTTTGCTGTGCTTCTCCTCCTGTTTGAAGATGAAGGCTGAGTTCTCCTCCTTGGTGATGTTGATGTAGTAGCAGGTGTCAGCGGCAGCCATGATATGGCGGGGGCCGGGGTTCAGGAGGATGCTCTTGTTGTCCTCCCTCTTCACCCCGATCAAACACACACCATACCTGCGAGGAAAGGGAGGTAGGCAATGTTCTTGCTCCAAAAGACTTCAACACTAATAGTAATGAGATAACACATTATCATAGCGTGCCCAGTCTGAGCTGGCGAAAGTCTTACTAACTTCTTATGGGCATGGAAGGAAGCGTAGGTGAAGCTTTTTCCATCGTACTCCCCGAAAAACTTGCTGTCACACAAGCGGATATGGTAGACCTCGTTTCCCGAGCAGCGGCCATACATCTTCTGCCAGTGTTCTGGTGACAGCTGTCCCTCCCTGGAAAAGTATTATCAGAATATTTACAACCTGAATTACAGTTATATGAAGAATCAGACTTCTACCATGGACTTCGGGCAAAAAGCAGCTCTGCTTTAAAAGAAAAATGTGGTTTATGCTTGAATTAGATGTCAGATCATAACTAGGCTGCCATCAATTTCTCAGTTCTTATTTCAAGTATGGCTCAAGAGGCATTTCAAGTCAAAAGAAAGAACCTTAAATCAAATGTGCCTTTATTTGCAAGTCAACAGCTCAAATTTCCCCATAGACTTATAAATCTATCTGACCTTTCATGACCTTCCCTGACCCTGCACTCCTGCATTCTAGTCGCAATAATGAACTAAAGAGAAAAGGCTATGAGGTCGTTTTATTTGGGCAGTTCATGTACTTCATAACTTAATCATTTTCGCAATTAACGCCTAATTTAACGCCGGCCATAGAGCAGTTTATTCCCATTCCTGTCACCTTCACAGCCCCAAGCCAGTACAAGTTCCCATAATGGAAGTTAAAATGGATGTGCTGCGCTCTGCTGTGGACAGCAGTGAGGATAGCAGTAGTCACCTTGCACAGAATGTGAAAAACACAGTTAGTGTTTCAGCCTAAGAAGGAACAAGTGTAATGTTTACTGACTTGACAGTGACAAGTTTCTGCAGTGGTGACAGTGCAGTAGTCAGCTCTGCGGAGAGAGAGAGAGAAAAGCCAGGTCCAGTCTTTATAACTGTAAAAACTCTGCTGCAGGGATATCGGTCGTTTTTCTCAAATACTAAACTAAAACTAAAACATTAACAGAGCACTCAAAGCTAGGAAGATTGAAAGTTTGCTGAATAAAAGTGTTTCATAGGGGTTGAGATGCTCTGGAGGAAGAAATAATATCATTGGTCGCGTTAAATCTCAACATCAGTTTTTGATAAGTAATGTAAAGGTGGGGTCCACTGAAAAAGGTTCAGCTCTGTTACATTTGCCAGATCACTGACTTCAAACGTCTTCAAAAAGTAATAAAAATCCACCTACCAGCATCACTAAGGCTCATCAACACACTACATCTTGTTCTTTTAATCTGTTCAAAAACCTGCTTGGTGGTGGAAATTGGACAGAGCTAGGCTTCCCGTTTCATTTTTAGTAGCTCATAATGAGACTCCTATACTTCTCAGCCCTATCTCCTTGATCAAACTGCTCCAGTTCTCTCAGGTTTGATGGGTGCCTTTTTCCCATCTGCGAGTTTCAGCTCTTTCCATAGATGTTCAAGGGGATTCAGATTAGGACTCATAGCAGGCCACTTCATTTCAGGATGATCCAGTCTTTTCTTCTCAATCATTTTCAGCTGCTATTAGATGTATGTTTCGGATCATTAACCTGTTGGAGGAGCCTTGACCTGCCGCTGAGACAGAGCTCTCTGATACTGGGCAGTATGTTCTCTCCAGAGCGCCTTAATAATCTGCTGATTTCATTGTGCCCTGCAAAGATTCAAAGCAGCCTGTGCCAAACACAGCAATGCTACCCCATGACATAACTGAGCCTCCTCCATGTTTCATAGTGGGGATAGGGTTCTTAGCTTTAAAAGCCTTTCTTCTGTGAACATAGGGACTTAGCAAAAAGCTCGAACTTTGTTTCATCTCTCCAAAGGACATTCTCACAGACGCTTTGTTTGTTTGCAATTCAGCAAACCCCAATCAGGCGTATTATGTTTCACTTTCAAAAGTGACTAGACACTGCTGTACCTTGATCTTGGAGGTCAATTTGTATCCGTTTCATAGTTTTCCTTGGCTCCGTCTCCACCATTCAAACTCTCCTCCTCTCCGTTAATTTTCCTCTAATGCCCACATTCAGGGAGATTGGCTTGTTAATAATATCAGTGACACAGTTCGTCACAGGAACATCCAGCGGCTTGGAGATGGCCTTTAACTTGACCATGCACGACAAATGTTTTTCTTCCTTATCTCCTCAGACAGCTCTTCTTCATCTTAATCTTGTCCGTGTTCAGTGTGGTGCACACAATGAAACCAAACAGCCATTTCATTAAATATGCCTAATGACTGATTATAAGATTGAATACACTGCCACAATCTGATACTAATTAAAAACAATAGTCTGCTTAAAATATCGGTACAATCCACTTGTTTATTACCCCCCTGTAAAATGGCCCACACTGAATGATTGGTAGCTCTTTTAGAAGAGTATGTCAGAATTCAGTTCTTTTCACAGCTGTTTTATTCTGTGGCTTTTCATTTCAACACGTTTCAAGAAGAATGGAGACTTGTTTAATTTAGTGAGGTGTAACAGTACCAACACTTTTGGCCACATCTGAATATGATTTGGTGAGAACAGTGCAGGACCATAACAACTCACGGGGTAATAAAAGAAGATCCTGACAGTGGACAGCCCATATCATTGTAAATGAATGCTGATATGAATAGTACAGCGTAAAATAAATGTAAAACAGTGATGTGTACTCACTGTCCTCTGGAGGTGTGAACCAAGAGCGTGACTAAGGTGGACGTGGCTGGACACACACAATTGAGTGCCAGCATGGCATACTTGAACTCCTCTTCACACACTACATGATCTGATTGAAATGGAAAAATTACAGTAACGGGTTAGATTTAGAGATGTGTAAAATCTATCATACAGAGAAAATGACTGTTTCAGTGGGTATGTGGCCTTCCCGCACTTACCAGCAAACTTAACATGAAATTTATTTTCTGGTTTGAGAATCTGGACGTAGAGGGGACAGTTTGGAGCAAAGTCCTTCGCAGCCCAGGCCCTCAAAATAGTCTGGTGGTCCTGTGGAACAAAGATTGTGCTATTGTATGCATCCAATGACTCAGCGATACTCAGTGTGTGCTCAATACTCAACATGATCTCAATATCTCCAATCTCTAAAGTTAATTATAAAAAGGAAAAAAGACTGAAGAGAAATTGCGCTATTGAAATTACTCTCATCATGAGAGGGTTTATACTGGAAATGAAACAGGGTCTCCAACTGATTCGACAAATTCCTGTTGACATGACTCACAGCAGCAGTTCGATCAACTTCGTTCCTGCTGCTCAGGATGAAGCAGGCCTCGGCGTCATCCATCCTGAAGATCAACAGAGAGACGAACAGGAAAAGAAAGAAGCACAGACAGGAAGGGTCACGGGCTGGTGACTACGAAGAGGTAATTCAACCAAACAGAAAATTTAAGGAAATCAACGATTTAAAGAAAAACTAGGCGTGGATGAGTGCTGATGCTCCGTGACAATGGCTGAAAAGGTTAACAGCTACGTTCTTGCATGAAAGCAAGCTGCTGCTGGTTGACATTAGACTGCAGTGTTTGCTATCATGAACGGTAGAGATTGTTTATTTGTGACTGAAAACTACAATGTGAACAAATGATTACAAGAAAATCGTATAGCAAAGCAGAGCTGATGTGTCTATGAGGCTTACCTGGCTTGGTGATTTTATCTGTTACATATCAGTGCGTGAAATTGCCATAGCATCTAATCCACTGCACGCTTTACTTTGCACGTTGAAGAAGGGACTCTTGGAGATGTGTGTGTGTGTGTGTGTCAATGCATTTGTGGGGGGGGGGGGGGTCGTCTGCTGGACAAATTTATGGCTTTGATTTTACACCATCATGTGCTAGTGAGAAGTTAGACCCCATTTCACTGGTATCCGCATCACAGCACAACAGGCAGTATAAAGCGGCAAAACAGCATTTGCCCAGTAAGCTCCCCTGAAGCAACACTAGAGCCATGAGAGGCACACTGTCGACTGCTGGTGCCGCAACATTCTGCATCAACTGAGCCAAGACTGGCAGGTCCAACATTTCCAACATGATCTATCACAGTTTTTTATTGCAGTCTATGCATGTGGCCTTTGATGTGAGCAGAATGATAAATGCAGAGTGAATCCCATTACACTGATGTGCAAGCAGAGGCAGCCAAATGGACTTGAAAGTATTTCCACACCAGCTGCACTTCAGTGGCTTTTCATTGCCACTGGAGGCTTATTACTTTATAATTTACATTCTAAAATACTCTTTATACAGAAAATGGAATTAAAACAAAGATAAAGTGCAGGACGGAAATCCAAAACTTTCAAGAGATAACACTGAATGTTCAAAGACTGTAAGACAAAAGAACTGAGTATTAACACCTGTTTTTATGTCCATCAGTGATGGCAAATAATCATACTGAATTAATCAAGACATGTCAGCAACCATTCAGATGTTTCTAAAAACACAGTTGGGACATAACTATGTGCATGTTTCAGTCTGTTTTTTATGTGTTTGCGTAAATTGAGAATCCATGCTAATGCTTTCACTCACTTGGCCTCCATCAAGGTCCTGGTCTTTGAGGGCAGATCCTTGCAGGTAGATAAACCCGCTGAGACCACAGAGATCTGGAGGATACGGCGAACCTGAATGTCTATCTCTGTCGGCACAGAATCACCACGTAATAGTCTGCGCGGAAAAGAACAAACACAAGTTGCATTTAAGCTAAATGCTTTTTTATCTAATCTTTTTCTATATAACATTAAATATTTCCGGACTTGAATAAACAACACTCAAAGTTACTGTCTGGTTTCGTCTCCTCTCACTTGGAATGAGCAGGTCTCAGAAGAAAGTTAAAGCATATATGGCCATTTGGTCTTTTCACATGTACCTGCAGTCTGGATGAGCGTAGAACTCATTTGAGGAAATCCAATTAGCAGGTCGATCTTCAGTTGAGCTGACACACAACACCACATGCTTCTCTGTCTCGTGCCGGTGACGACTGTAGTTTCCTCCTAACTTCTGGCTCTCCATCCACAGGTACGCTAGTTCTTCAAACTGACACAACGACAATGACAACAACATCAATGTGATGTCACAAGCAACAAGGAGTCGACTAAATAATGGGAGAGAATAGATTTGCTGTCTGGACACAGATGGGAGCTGGACGCTCGAATGAAAACTGCTGATGCAGCGCGTTTGCGAGCAGCAGGAGTTCATTTCTATTTCTCACCCAATTTGCTCAGCAGGGACAGTAAACATCTAAGAACACTTGACGTATGAACATGTTCGGAATATTAAAAAATAAATAACACAATGAACGGGGGCTGGCAGACTTGGCCATGAATTCTGAATGAGATTTGAAGACTTCCTCTGCAGGGAAATATGTCAGCGAAAGAAGCATTTTAGTAGATTATTTGCTGCCAGCCTTGGAAAAGCACAACAAAATGTCATTTAATGTTGGATATAGCCCCATGAGTCGGATTACTAGATGCAGAACATCAAAACTACATATGATAAGTCAAGGAATGCAAGCCGACTCACTGCACTTAGGGAGGAGAAAACACTAGCGTTAGTTTAGCACTCATAGGTGTAGTACGCTTCTGCCAGTGGGAGGACCCACCAGGGGCAACACAGGATGAGAGATGAGGACCAGCCAGCGAGCGTGGGAGGGCCAGATTGTGGCGTTACGTCCGGCCGTAGCGGGGGCACGGAGTGGACGAGATGGAGAGTGCAGGAGGAATGAGGAACGAGGTGGGCACGCGTGGCGTGGCTCAGCCTCTCTCTAGTCGCTGGCATCGCCGACAAGCTCTGAGCAGAACAACGATGCAATTACACCGGAGCGACATCAGACAGCAGATCTCCAACTGCAGAAATTAAAGAGTAATTCAGACATGAAGAGCAACGCAGGAGGATATGTTTATTAGATTCGGTGCTGGTCCAGTAGTTATGCTTTAGGCCTGGTGAGTGCATACAGGAAAATCAATTTACCAGATAAAGCGGCATCCACCAAGTCAATACCGTCGTAGGCTCCGCAGATAGTCATTTGAATGATCACCACTTGATTGGCTCTTTCCAGTTCTCCACCTCGCGCTTGCTGCTGGTATTCGTATTGTGTGGGTTGTTTTTCCGAGTTGATAAGTGAAGATTTAATGAGAACCCTGAGGCAGAGTGGCGGGATGGAATGTCGTAACTGGGACGCGGGTGGACGTGATGAGGTAAGGGTGCGTGCGTGGCCAGGTGGTCATGAGAGTTGCCAAGGGACGGCGAATGGGTCTGAGAATGAACAGCATCTCGGAGTGATGGAGAAAGAACTGAGATAGAACTGGTAAGAGTTGGAGAGAAAGGATGAAGGATATAAGAAGATGAAAGGATGAGTCTGGATAGAGAGAGTTGGCCATTTATTCAAAGGACCTTTCACTGGGAGGTTTTTTCCGTTAATGTGCACTGTGTTCCTGCCGAAATTCTTGGTTTGTTGGTGCTCTCAGTGGTGACGAGTTATCCAAACAAGTTGTTTCTGCAGCGTTTCCTTGTGCTGCATCACTCTTTTTGCATCACAAAATGTGTGGCTCAGAAGCGATCAGGATATGGAGTGGGAGTGCGAGACGGGGGGAGTGATGTATTGCTTTTTTGTGTTTGTTACGATTTTATGACCATTACCCTTGCGTTTTGCAAGTTACAAAAGCAGCCAAACTGGACTTTCCATAATGCTTTAAATAGCTCTGGAGCATTATACCATTTTCTTAGTTTTACTTGTAGATTTTTAATTTTCATATTTGGTGCCGAGTGCAGAAGAGAGTGCAAGATCTGACTCCAAAACTGACAGCAAGCAGCAAACATGCCTTGCTTGTCAAATCGCCAGATTTCGATCTCTGCTTTTGCACAAGCACAGTGTGTTTCGATAGAAGTGGTAGTCGTGCAGTTGGAACATTTGGATGCAACCTGCATATCATGATTTTCTTGGAAAGTATCAGTTCAGGCGGACCAATCTATATGCACTGAGCGGTCAGTAAGAACAAGCATGAGTTACATGAAAGCCTCTGTGATAGAGTACATATTCAGAAGGATGAAATAAGCAAAAGAAAGCATGTTCCACCACCCAGTCAAAACCCAGACACAGTAAGAGTGCAGATAAGGATGAAACAACCTGGCAAGAGTGGGTCTCTGGAGTGCACGTTTTGGAAAAATCATTCTGTACAGACTCTCTCCTC